ACTCTGGGCCAGTCATTTTCTTTACAGTAACACAAATCTTCATAATGACTCTGCAAAGGAGGCTTTACAGATGAGGACTGGAGGTTCTGAAAGGTTAAGTCATTTGCTCAATTTCCTTGGAAGGCTGGAGTCAAAATGTGAACCCAGAAGAGACTGACTTAACCACCCATTCTCCTTCCATCACTTTCCCTGACGTTTCTCAGTGTGCTTGTGAGGACCATCAGCTTCTTAGAGAAGTTCATTACTTCATTCATTTTGTTGGAGACATGTAAACTTTCTTTTTCGAATGAATTCTATGGCAAGAAAGAAAAAAGAAAAGTGTTCCTGTGTTTTAGGTAAGGAGCCTGTTTACTTGAATATTACCATAAAAAAGCAACCTAAATATTCATCAAAAGGGGAATGGTTAAGTAAATTACATATAACCATGTTATGGAATAATATACAGCCATTGAAAGTCACTTTGCAGAAGACTGTTTATAGACATGAGAAAACATTCTCCATGTACTAGGCAAAAAAAGAGCAGGTATTCAAAGACAATTAAATAACTATCAATCAATTGCTAATTAAAATGAAAAAAAAACAGAACTATACATTCTTATGGGAAAAAATAGGCTGTAATAGATTGCATTTTTTGTTCAAAGACACTTCCTGCTTCTTTGTATAGACTCTGCCCCACTGAGGTCAGCTTAACCCCTGAATTTGCTGAATGCGAGTGGAAGTGATATGGTCTTCCATGAGATCCGTAAGGAGAGGTGGATCCTTCAGCCTGAGTCCCAGATTCTTGAGGATGGAGTACATCTGCAGCCGATCCACCAAGGACATGTGACGTGAGTGAGAAATAAACATCTGTCATTGGAAAACACGAACTTGGCTTACCCTAAAGTGGTACAGATACTTTTTAAAAAATTAATGAACATAATTGAGAGCTGACAATTGAAGTGACATGAAGGAATTTCTTTTTATTTCATCTCTTCAAAGAAAAGTTGTTTTTTGCTAGACCAGATCTTTATTATGCCATAAAAGTATTATCTAGTAGACATTCTTGTTTTCTGATAAGATAAAGAAAATGGTCTCAATGTGTTCTGACTGAACTTGATGTGTTCATCCTCCAAGAAATAGGAGAGGAAGAAAAAAGTGGGCAGTGCTATAATGGGCTTCATTCATTTCCATGTAAAATAAGAATGCAAATGGCAACTTGAGGTCAAAGAAGAGATTCCAACAAAATTGAAAAGACCATGGCCTTTGAAATTAAATTAAAACCAGGCAGACTGTAAATATGAAAATCAAGGTAGCAGCAGTGAATTTACACATAATGGATGCATTCACAGAGCAGGTCAAACTGTTATACAGTAACTCATACCCTGTGTGTAATGAGTAAAAATTATACAGTAACAGTGGTTAAATAGCAGTGAAATTCAATGGAGAGCAAGGTAATTAAAAGTTCATATGAATATTCCTTTTGACTTATATTTGACAATGAGATTAAAAGTAACTTCATAATTAATTAGTTACAGGAATAATAACTCAAACTTAACAAGCTACATAGGAAAAGATCAGGAATTATTATAAAATTTCCCACAGAGGGACAAAATGGTAAATCACAAAAATGACTGCAAACACAACTTTGTAAAAAGGGAAGGGGACAAAAACCTCTGATGAAATTCCCTCTAGCATACTGAGTGCCATTCTTGTCTCTGCAGTTGGAAATAAATCAGAATAATTCCTTCTGATTCAGAGAAATCTTAGAAAAGGCAATTAAAATGATCTCAGAATGGGGAGGCTATTGATGTAACTTGTACCCCCCAAACATTATGAGGGGTATACAAATAATAGTGCAAATTACCATTTACCTAACGCTGTGAGTACCGTACATAGGCATGTGATGTGCTGAGTGCCTTAGTACTTAATCTATTTAAACCGCAAAACAACACTATGTATAAAGTAGGTTTTTATAGTAAAGACAGACAGCTGCTCACCACAACTTGGTTTTTTCCTTTCTATGCTCACAGCTAGACTGCATTTTTCCAGATTTCCTTGAAGTTAGCTGTGATCTAACTGTTAAAGAGGAGAAAAAAAATTCTAAGATGAAAAAGTGAGCTCTGAGTGGAAGAAAAAATGCACTGCTTCCTCAGTAGAAGTAAAGCTTTTTTTTAGCACTTAGCTTTGAAAGTGACAAACTTTACAGAGCAACTATTAGGCACACACAGCACTAGAATAGATGTTTTTCATAGGAGTGCACAGAAAATAAACCTATGTAGGCAAAGAGGAAGGAAAATACTGTGTCTGATGTTTTTAGTCACTGAAGTTCTGTGAACACCTTGAAGAAAGCCTGATATTAAATGACTGAAACCCAGTCAAAATACTTTTACAAAATATAACTAGAACAAATTGCAGTTTTAAACTGCCTTATTGATATATAATCGACACACCATATAACATGTGCAATGCCAATTTTTTAGTATATTCAGAGTTCTGCAACCATTGCTACAATCTAATTTTAAAAGATTTTTATCTTTCTTTGAAAGAAGGTACATACCCACTGGTTTTCTTTCTCTCACCACCTATCCCTCTAGCTCTAAGCAATCACTAATCTACTCTCAGCCACTATAACTTTGCCTATTCAGAACATTTCATATAAATGAAATTATACAGTATGTGATTCATTTTGTGACTTCTTTCATCTGGCACAGTGTTTCTAACATTCATCCACGTCGTAGGATATTATCAGTACTTCATTTCTTTTTATTGTTGAATAATGTTATATTGCATGAAAATGCCATGTATTGTTTATCCATTCAGCAGTTGTACATTTGGGTTGTTTCCGCTTTTTGGCTATTACAAATAATGCTTCTATGAACATTTATGTACAAATTGTGTATGTTTTTATTTCTCTTGGGTATGTAAACCTAGGAGTAGAATTGTTATGTTTCAGCATCTGAGAAGCTACCACACTGTTTTCCAAAGTAACTATACCATTTTACATTCCCACTAGCAATGTAGGATGGTTTCCATGTTCCCACACCTCACCAACGCTTGTTATTGCCAACACCTGTAATGATGTGATTTTTTTTACATATAGCCATCTTAACAAGTGTGACGTGTTATCTCATTGTGGTTTTGATTTGCATTTTCCTTATGCAATGATATTGAATCTTTTTCTGAGCATATTGGCTACTTGTATATGTTCTCAGAAGGTCTATCAAATCCTTTGTTCATTTTTAAGTTGGGTACTTTATTATTGAGTTGTAGTTGTGTGTATGTGTTTATATATGCTGGGTACCAGGTCCTTACCGGATATATGATTTAAAAATATTTTCTCCCATTCTGTGTTTTGTCTTTTCACTTTTTTGATAGTGTTCTTTGAAGCGCAAAAGCTTTAACTTTGATGAATTTCAATTTATCTATTATTTCTTTTGTTATTTGTGCTCTTGGTGTTGTATCCAAGAATCCACTGCCTAACTGAAGATCACAAAGATTTACTCCTATGTTTTCTTCTAAGGATTTTATAGTTTTATCTCTCACTTTTAGGTCTTTGATCCATTTTGAGTTAATTTTTGTATATGGTGTGAAACAGAGGTCCTACTTTATTCTTTTTCATGTGGATAGTCAGTTGTCCTTGAAACACTACTGAAAAGACTATCCTTTCCCTCCATGTAATTGTCTTGGGGAACTTGTTGAAAACTGAACCTAAATGAAAAGGTTTATTTTTGGACTCTCAATTTGATTCCATTGATCCATACATCTATCCTGTGACAGAAAAACACTAGTAAGTAATTAAGTGATTTTGACCTTTTTGCTCAAAACTGCAATTACTGTTAAGTGATTCTTATATTTTTCAGGCAACCCAACGTTGTTTAATTTCAGAGCAAACTTTTTAGAAGTGATAAATGATAAACTTTTCCCACAATTAAAGCGAATTAAAATAAATTACTTTGAGAAGGTTCTAAAAAAAATTCAAGCCATTCTGGGTTGTGGTGATATTTGAGCGAGAAATAACTGGCTACTTCACTCAGACCACTGCGAATTACAACGGCTCTCACTTTCTCCTTAGGGATGAGTACCTGCAAAGATCATTACTCATAAAGTTGAGAAGGGAAGAGTTTCCACTCGCATCCGGTGTTTTCTCTCCCCTGAGCAAGTGTTGGGCCTTCTCTAAAAGGCATAGAAAATCCTGTAGCCTCTAGGATTTTTTGACCGCCCTTCTAGAATGTTCACCCAATTTGATGACCCAAGCTGAAAAGGCGTAGCGCAGTCAGGTGGCTCTCATCGGAGTTAGCTCGCCTCCGGAGCGTCGCCCAAGCCTGAAGAAGGCCAAGGTCCTGTTGGGGCTTGTTTCGCGCAAAGCCAAGGGCCCATCTTACAGGATGTCCCATTTGAGTCTCCAGCCTTCCCCTCTGCCTTCCGCTCCCAACGTACCACTGCGGGCCTCGCTTAAACCAGGGCACCACGGGTCCAAAGTTGCACTTGTTCCTGCCTTCCTGTACGCTGCCCGCGCTCCATCGCGGGGTTGTTCTGGGAGCAGGCCGGACAACTTCCTAGTTTTTGCCCGATGACGGGGTCCCTAGGTCCCCAGGTGCCTGCGCCGGGACGCGTAACCCTTGCAGGGTGCAGTCGCCTTGGCGCAGGCGGCGGGCGCGGGCTGAAGCAGCGTAGCGAAGGCTGCGCATAGACGCTGGGCGCCCGCGGTGGCGGCGGAAG